AAATCAGACAAGCTATCTATGAATAATTTATATGGACAGGAGCACGATTAAAATAATCTTTCAGATTAATACATATACTCGTAAATAGAATAGAATAGAATTTATTTGTTAAAGATTTACTCTATTCTTCAAATTCTACAAATCAAATATGTATAAATAACATAATTTCACTCACACGTGTATAGTTTATTATAACTGTCCATTTACTAGACTCGTTAGGAAAAATAATAATATTTTAAAACATTATATAATTCAAAATTAATATGTATTTACCATATCAATAAAACCAAAACAACTACGGCGTGTCCTTTAGATCACACGATAGGAGCGAAAACGTCAACAAGACAAGATTAATAGTATCAAGTATAATCTTTTTTGTTCTATATTCACAAAGTATAAATAACATTTACAATTTGTATGTTTAGAGTTGTGTATAAACTACTTTTTGTTCTATATACACGAAATAATAACAATTGCAATATATAATAGAGCGTATAAAAATAAATGACCGTTTTTCAACCAAATATTATTATTTCTTTGATATAAAATACAATTAATACTCAAAAAACGTCTGCCAAGTAAGGTCAGTATAGCTTCCTCACCGTTTCCGTTGTATATTACAAGGTATACAATTTTTCGTATGAGAATAAAATCTCTGAGAGAAGCAGAATCGGAATAGCCGATTACAGTTACCCTTCAACATTCAACAACAGAGGGTCGTATTTGAATATTCCATACTTGATTATGCTTAATAAAAAAATAAATAAATAAAAAAAAATGCATACTGAACATGAATTTCAATACTGTTAGTTCAAAAGGTCTTATGTATAAATTTATTTATTGTTTTACAAGAGTGCATAAAAACTCAATATTTCTTTATGCTTTATTAGAATAATTTCATATTTTATTTTCATCTGCTATTTTCCATAGTAGCAGACTACTTATATCAGTTGCAGACTACAAAATATCACCTTTAATACACATAGAATTAAAGTTGAAAATTATTACATACGAACTTATGCTCTAATAATAGTATATACATTACCGAATCAAGATTTAATTTTGGAGGAGGGGCTTCAGCACGAAAGATTTATATATATATATATATATATATATATATATATATATATATATAACGATAATTAATTTGAAAAAAACCACTGCAAATTATTTCTCTTTGGTATATTATTTCCAAACAATTATACATATAAAGTAACATTAAATTCCTAGTTATAAAGAAAAATAAATAAAAGGTGATTCTAATTATTGGACTAAAATTTTTTTTAATCATTAGTAATATGCTAAAAAAAAATAGCATTACTTCAGTAACACATTCAGAAATCAAAAAAAAAGATAAACCTTTTGCAATAGCACATCTAAAAAAAACTAGAGACCATATCTTTGCTCCTAATTGTCCGATTTTGACGAATTTTTTTTTGTTTTTAGGAAATTCCGTAAACTTCTAAAAAACCATATACAATATTAACATAAATGTGTATACTTCTTGAGTTATTCGGAATTTAGTTTTACCATCCCTCGTAACTTTTTTTGAGCTTCTTTTCGTTGAAGTATGTAGTATAGATAAATTCAGAGGGCGTAGAGAAAATGACTTTAGCGAAGTTCATCAAAATCGGTACATTCGTTTAGGCGCTACAGTCTATAGCAACGCAGGTTTTTCGGCCGCCATTTTGAAACTAGAAGGCGAATAGTAATGTCGTTGAAGGAGGATGATCCTCGGGTGACCTCTGATTTTATATCCAAATTCGAAAAAAATCGGTCTAGTAGTTTCAGAAAAAATGCGCGGACGGCGGACGGCGGACTAATAATGCACATATAAGAGAAAGTGTTGGACACAATTCAATGAAATTGACACTGCATTACTTTTTTACCAAAGTCTACCTTTTTTCTAACTTTGAGCCAAATCGAACGAGCCCTTTCTGAAATATTGGCATATCTAAAAATATACGTTTGCGCGTGCGTAAGCGGAAGTGCTAAATGGAATTTGATAAAATTGATAAGGGACCATCTAGGCACCAATCCGCATAATCCCTGAAAATTTCATGATGATTGGATGAACAGTACTAGGTGATATGCCCGTCACATCGATTTGAATACAGACAGGAAGACAGACACCGAACCAAATTTGATCCTTGATGTCTGAAACGTAAAACGCGAGTGAAATTTTCGATTCTGAGCCAAAAAAAATTTTTTAATTTCTCGCACGAACACAATGCTTCGGTAGTGAGTAAGCAATACAGTGCATTGTTATCTACCGTCATTAACCAATTGTTCGATCCCACGCTACTAGGATTGTTAGGAATGGATGTCAAAGAACTCTTGGACCGCAATTTCAACTTCCTCAAATTTATCAATTTTTTTTCCCTTGAAGAAAATGGGCCATGGATCTAAATAAATAATCTGATGGTGCGAGGTCTGGACTATATGGTGGATGAGGCAGGAGTTTTTCAATAAATTTCCAATCTCTTAGCTGATTGCTGAGGAGTACGTTCGTGAAGGACCAGTCTACTGCTCTTTTTCACCTTCCCCATGGAGAGAAGATGGAAAGTTCGCGAGTACTTGTGTACGGATTTGACTCAAAAGCTTCCTGCAGAACCTGCGTCAATATCCATTAATGGTCATCCGGAGCCCTTCTTGCATTCCAACATCGTATCTCCCCTGCAAAATTTTTCAAATCAATGCCGCGCAGTGCGCTGGTCAAGGAAACCTTTTCCTTCTTATTTAATAATTTTACGGGTCGGATTAATAATTACGAGAATTTTGTAGGACTTCCAACTAAACTGAGGTTTTTTTTTTTAAAAAGTCGAATGGGATTAAAAAATCTCAGTGAATGCTCTAAAGGGATTATTAAGTATTGGTAAGTATTAAATATGATTAAAATATTTACAGTCCTTTGAAATTTTGAATATACAGGGTGTTCCAGGATTAAGTGCTCGAACTGCAAATATGAACTGAAGACTTCATATTAAATGTTGTTCTAAGTGTAGGTATTGCTATGTATTGTAAAGACCGCCGGTGGTATTCATTTAATTATTTTAAAGGTATAAATAAATAAATATCATAAGTGCCCACATCTGGCGCTACCTGAGCGAGAGTAACAACCCACAAGCCCAACCTTTTGTAAGTGGTATTAAAAACCTTTAAGAACCACCGACCAAGACCGACAACTGAGTGTTTAAACAGGATCCCGAAAGACCTTTTCACACCTTCCACCAGAAATACCTAAATCTGTACCTGCTGCTTTATCATGGCCTGGGGGAGAGGGCGTGGTCATCCCTTAGGCTAGGAATATTCAGCCAATCAGGAAAAAAACTACCAAAAGAGAGGGGGATGAAGAAAGGTGGGAAATAGAGGACTAGGACGAAAACACTTCTTTTTGGGACTCAGCTGAGGAGACTGCTTTTTGGGACTTAGCTGAGGAGACTTCCTTTTGGGACTCAGAGGAGGAGACTTCAAGCGGGGGAGTCGAGGGAGGAAGACGAAGACAGCCGAAGAGAGCAGATGGACGGACTAGACGCTGAAGGAGAGCAGAGACAGGGAATCCAGATATGACGGCTAGAAACACCTAGAAACACTATGAAGGACCAGGTAAGTGGTAACAAGCATTTAGTTATACTAATGTAAATTTGTGTTGGCAACCATACATCATTAATTAATATAATCAATATAACACATGTAACTTTAATCAAATATCAAGCATTCTCCTCCAGTATGATTCTCAACTACAATTATGTATATAGGTTTGTTCATTAATTGTATATGTGGTTTGGTTATTTAAATTTGTAAATATATTAGTTAACAAACCATCTTAGTACTTTTACATTCTACCTTGCATGCCACCAATTATTAATAGAAACAAATAGTAAATTTATAAACATGATACCTTTAGAAAAGAAATTCAATAAAAATTATATGGTTCAATCTAGGATACTATAGTAGGGGGTCTGTGTTATCTAAACATTTAAATACATCATTAATATATTTTTCGGTATATCGGTTCCCTTCTGGGACCGGTATGAATACCAATATAAGTATTAAATATAAATAAATGCGGTTTCTGGAACCCCCTACTCGCCGTAGAAACGCGAGGCCAGGAACATAGCAGTATGTCCACAAACGCTTTGTTTAGGAGATGTATTAGATAGAATACTAATATGGCATTTTATTCCTAACTGTATAAAAACTATTGACAACATAAGGGTTAATACTATTTGGAATTAGCATTGAGAACTCTCAATAACATTTATCAGTTTTTAAGATGCTTTTGCAGAGTACTCATCATAATGCCTTCCATTTATACTAATGGTGCATATGACGATATGGTGTTTGTATACGGTTTTTGCAATGGTAATGCTGCTCGTCGTGAATATAGCTAACGATTACCAAACATGTCATCTTTAGCTCCACGTTTCGACGTCTTAGAGAAACTGGTACATTTGCTATAATACCGTGTGCTTATGGTACTTGATCAACAACAGCCCAAATAACTTTGAACAACATTTAATATGAATTTGATGTTTACGTTTAATTAATAAAGTAGTGGGGACAAATAAATAGGTTTTATTTGCTTAATAGAACGTAAATAATTCATAACAATGAAAATATTTAGGTGTGAATATCTCCTAAACAAAGCGTTTGCAGACATACCTTCAGAAGAAATTATTTTTCTCTTTTGAAGTCCTTAATTCATATTTTCAGTTTGGCCACTTAACTCTGAAACACTCTATATATATTGTAACCAAGAGTAAGAAAGCACTGGAAACAAAACAAACTCTACTCTCTTTTGTTTCCTGAGCAGATGACTAATTGATATTTTAGCATGTGCATGTACTCTTACATCTTATTGTATCTTGACTATCTTTGGATGTGGCATGCCATAATATTGTATATAAAATAAGTATCTTTTTTTTGTTATTTGTATTATCTTTATTATCTTAAATATCTTTCTTTTTTTTAACTTTAATTGTATATAGTAATTATGTTTGAGTTCCCTCTTTTTCCTTGTATTTTATTTCTTTTTATTGTACATAGTATTAATTCTGTAAATATTTCTTTCTGTAAATAGATCTGTTAACCTTTTTGCTGCTTTATAAAAATTATCCAACCTAACCCTTCTCACCTGAGCTAGCATGGTAGAGTAAATATGTAATGATGGCCATTAAAGGGTAAGTACTTTCTGTTTTCTAATTTATCTCTTTAGAGATGAAAGGCTGTTAAGCCAGGCGCCCAACAAATAAAAATTCCTATGGAAAATTATATTTATTAAAAATTATTTTATTATCTTTTCATTTATCCTTTTTTTGGTCATAATATACACTTATTTACAAAATATTTTTTTTTTTTTACTGTTGAATGGAATCATTACTAAGTTTTGGAACAAGATATATTTATTTTGAACATGTCCCGTTTAAAATATAAAGTTTTAAGTTCTAAATACGAAATAAAGAAACTAAACACGAACGTACAGGAAATTATTGAGTTCTCAAAATTACATGTTGCAATTTAGAGACGGTTATTATTCAATTGAGATGATTGGTGGACAATCAAAACAATCAAAATGAATTTCCCAAAGATTGATAAGAAGAAATAATAGTCACATGATTAGATAAGAATGAAGTGTCGAAATTATTAAAGGAGCCTAGAACCTCGCAAACCTCAGCATCATGGCCATGAGGCACCTGGTACTTCTTTTCGGTTTAGTTTCCTTCAGCGGCGCCGAAACCTTGGTCGTCCAGACCTCGGGAGGCCTCGTCAGAGGGTTCGCTTCAACCTCTAGAGATGGGAAGACGTTCTTGGCTTTCACGGGGATACCGTTCGCGAAGCCACCTGTGGGAGCGCTCAGATTTCAGGTGAGACCAAACATTTAACTTAGGGCCAGCTGCTCGATTCATTGTTTTAACCAAGATTAAGTTATCTCAGTTCAATCCACAGTACAGCTCTGCTCTGTTATCACCACTTTCGGTCGTTGGTAAAAAGCCACTGCGACGCAGATCCTGTCCGCCAATCCTTTTTAATTCAATTCCTCTTCCCTACTCATACACCAGAACCCACATACCAGACTTAAAAAACAAGAACATAACCGACGCTAAAACATGGCCAGCTATATAGATTACTAATCAGGACATCTCATCTTTCGATTGAAAATAAACTTTTAATCTACAAGACCATACTTAAACCTATTTGGACTTACGGACTTGAACTGTGGGGAACTGCTAAAACATTCGAATATCAAACGCACCTAATCCTTCCAATCCAAAGTACTTTATTTTTTTTATTTATTTATTTCCACCCTCCCATGCCACAATGGCAATGCGGGTGTTTGCAATAGTGTGTTTTAGGCATGATACAATAACACACTACTACTAGATATGCACATATATAGTTCTTCTGTTTTATCTTCTTTCGGCCTAGCTTTCGGAATCTGGAGGTCTTCCTGGCGCTTGTCCTCTTCTTCTGCGAGCACCAATACGGAAGTGAGCGGGCCCCACTTCAGTCTTCCATCCATTTATGAAATCCTTAAACCGCGGGAAATTTTCCTCACTGACTAACTGAGGAAACTCATTTTCAGTGAGGACATAGATTCCCGCGGCTCTTGTCATGGTCGCTCTTAGCGTTTCAAACGCGGTACAGGTCGTGACCACGTGCTCTACAGTTTCCGGAACACTACAGATTGGGCATAGAGGATCTACATCAATCCCCAGACCGTGAAGTTTAGCTCGAAATCCTCCATGCCCCGTGAGAAACTGGGAAATCCAGTTTGTTCCAATCCAAAGTACTTAGAACAATAGTCAATGCCCCATATTATGTCACAAATAAGACCCTACACCATGACCTTAACATCCCATCTGTCCTCGACATCATCCCATCCAGATTCTCAAACTTTCACCCGAACCTCATCCATCATCTAAATCCTCTATCTCAATCCCTGTCCAGCTTTCTTCATTCCTACAATCCTCCTCGAATGTTAAAATGGCAGTGGTCCAGAGATCTCATGTAAATATGCTTCAGGAGTCCTGGCAATGGCCAGCTTCTCCACTCTTGTCCTGAGCGTCTGTGGCTCTCGTGCCCTCTTTCAGTCTCCACTGGCTTCTAATACTACTGGTGCGGCTAGAAAAGTGGCACTGAGATCTCCTAGAGTTTTGCTTTGCCTTCAACATGTAGGGGAAAAAGACTGGCTCGGAAATTCCTGGGCGAATGTATATAGGTATGATTGTGTTTAGAATTTTTTATTTTATTTTATTTGTTTACTTTTTATATTTATATTTATTTCTACATTATTTGCACATATTGTATGAATGAGAACTTTTAGCCCTGATACTTATAACCCTACAGCAGTGGATGATTGTATAATTATTCAATAAATAGAGATTGCAGGTTGAAGCTCGATACGGTAAAAAGTTAAATCTAAACTGAGATGTAGAAAGGGATTGGGAGATTACTAATAGATTTTTCTACAGTTCTTTTTTTGTGTGAACTTCTCAACCTCGAGTGTTTGTTTTCGTTTAACGAAAGTCAAAGTTAAATTAATTTGTGTTACTTATCAAAAAATAATTATCTAAATCTATAAAAAAAATTCTTCATCAGACCAATGGAGAAAATAATTCATCCGAGGACAATATACCTTATCTTCTAAAAAGTAAAAATTCAATTAAATTCAGAAAACTCTCATTATCAAAAATCTAGCATATAGATTTTAGCAAGAGAAAAGACCTGGTGCGGTGCGCCCGTCACACAGCTTTCACTTACCACCCTCTTCTTGTCAGAAATAAGTATTTTCAGACAAAGGGAAAGTGAAAGTAAAAATTATAAACTCTATATTGATTTATATTTCATTGTGGATATTTTTATTTGTTTATGTACGTATATATACAACTTTTAATATTTATATCACTGAAATCTATACAATTAAATATTAATAATACCAACGAAAACATGTAGGAAAACCGCATATGTATATAAACATAATATGGTCGGAGTCCGTATTATATTAAGCTCATGTTACTGTTGAAGTCTTATCTTCGGGCCAGCTCGGGCGCGCTCGTATTGGTTCCTCAATTACAACCTCTTACGATCTCTTATTTCTCCTTTAGTTAATTATTTAATTCTTTTATATTTTTTATTTAACTATTTTTTATACTATAGATCAATGCGAAATACTTAATTGCTTCAAATAAAAAAAATTAAAGGTACTTTAGAGAAATCTTATATTAAAAATTAACTTTTGTTTTCAATTCTTCATCAGCACCTGTCATGGTAGTGACAATTAGAAGATTGTTGCTGTAGTCATTTAACCCCTGTTAGAGAACATCAATGAGAATAAAACTTGGATAATATTAAAAACTGCTTAATTTTACACTGATGTATTGAATTGAATCAAAATCATTGGAGCCGTTTTCGAGAAAATAGCAAAAATGTGTTTCATCGATGATGTAAAGTGCCACATCCGGTCAGCCGATTTTGATGAAAAAATAGCTGTAATATTTCATGTATATACAACATAGCCTTAAATGTGCTATTTCACACACAAACACAAACATCATTTTGCATGACTTGGTAATTTGGACTCAGGAGACCTCAAAATATGTATTTCCGTTGAAAACTCAGATTCAAAAATTTTCATCAATATTGGTAAGTGAAAGTAAAAATAGAATATATACTACTGGTATATATACCTGCGAGTAAAACTACTGGTCCTTAATACCACTAATTCGGCTGAATGAAAGGCGCTGGGATCTCCTCGAGTCCTGCCTTTCCTTCCACGAGGGGAGAGAAATGCTTGGTTGGGAGTTGTCCTCAGTGAATGGATTCTTTAAATGTATAAAAGTATGCTTCCAAGTATGACTCCAAATTTAAATTAAATTAAAGTAAATTTCTTTAACAATCTACCATTGTTTTTACCTAGGGATGCAAATACGTTCTCCTTTTATTGGACACTACTACTTCCGTGGTCGTTGTTTTTTATTTATTTATTTTTTTTTTTTTTACTCACTTACTTATATATGAAATATACAGTAAGAGACTTTGCGATCGTGAAAATTTTCGAATCTGAGTTTTCAACGGAAATACAAGTCCTGCTTAATGATCCGTGTGTGTGTGTGTGGGTATGTGACAGATATAGTACAAAAACGAATAGTCATATGAAAATGAAATTGCTTATTTAAGGCTAACTGTAAGTACCACTTTATATCACAGGTGAAACACATCTTAAATCCCCGCCCATACCCCCTGGCCCGAGAAAAACCCGTATAGTCTTAAAGGCGAGAAAGGGGAGGAAACAAAAAAAAAAAAAAAAATTGAAACACATTTTTACAATTTTCTCGAAAACGGCTCCAATAATTTTGATTAAATTCATTAAATCAGAGTAAAATTAAGCTGTTTTTAATATCAGCTAGGTCTTATCCACATTGAAAAGTACCTTTAATTGTTGTTATTTGAAATAATTACCATTTCAAATTAATGTTTGATCTTTATAGTTATAAAATATGAGAGAATTTGATAATTAACTAAAGGATAAATAAGAAATCGTAACAGAGAATATCTGTTATGAAGGAACTTAAGGGATACGAGTTCACCCTAAGAACAGGCTTCCATACTTAACATGAGCATAATAAAATACGGACTCCGACAATATTATGTACATATACATATGCTGTTTTCCTAAATGTTTTTGTTGGTAAAAATTAAACAACAAATTGATATTGTATAAAAAAATAGAAAAATGAAATATAAAATTAATGTCCTTGTGGATTGATAGGTATGCTGTGTACGAAGCAACCCTATGTAGTAGGGCAGCATTACTTTTAATAAAGTATTTCTCTCTCTACTTAATATTCAATTATATAGATTACAGGGATATAAATATTAAAATTTGTATATATATATAAGGGTACTTGAATAAATAAAAATATCCATAATGAAATATAAATCAATATAACTTTTATAATTTTTAATTTCACTCCCCCGCTGTCTAAGTTCTATTCTAAGTTGTCAAAGTTCTATCATAAACAACCTAGTTCTTATAAAATTTGATTGGAATTAAATATTTAAAAGGAGAAAGTGTAATCCATCTCTACATATTTTTTATTTGCTTTCTAATTGAACAGTTTATTATTTTGCATTTAAATATTGACTGATTTACCTGAATTTCCGTCTACATAGAAAAATGTAACAAATTTGATTGCACCAAATGCCTTAGTTTAATCAAAAAGGAATTGATAAAAACAGATAAATCTTGACCTTGTATATGTATTTACACTTTCATATCTTTAAAATTATATATTATAACAATTCATTTCAAGTGATTTCAATGGCCATTTTGAATTTTAATTACTCTAGTCAACAACGAACACGTTTACGGTTGATAAGTACCAAAACAGAATTCTAATACTATGTAATACATCAGGAAAAGTTCAATTGAAAATTTAAACACAGTTTTTAGTTATATTTTGATAATTCTAAACAAAATATTTAATTTATGTCGCTTTTGTCTTAAAAACAATGTGATTGGATGTTGTTGATGTTCTACGTAAAACAAGTATTATATCTTTCAAATACTAATAAAGCGAGACAGGGAGTTCATTGGCGAATTCTATGAAACTTCTAAAAGGACTTTCAAAAAGTGCCTTTTATGTATTTATAATGAAATTATCTTTTAACAGACAAATTAATATTCTATTAATTTTTTAAAACTTGTTTTATTCTTGATTCAGTCAATGGTATAACAGCAGATCTCTGAGCCATTTTCTTTTTAATCTGCGTCTACCATGTAACAGGGAGGAGGACATTGGTAGAAGGAGGTTGATTGGAGTGGATTTGTGTTAAAGAATGAAATGTAATGTATTTGTCGTGGATCACGGGCGGATCGACGGGGGGGGGGGCTTTCGGGCTGAAGCCCCCCCAAAATGGTAAAATGTAACCATCTTTTATGGAAAAATATATTAAAAATTATCTCTCAAAGTATTATTAACGTAATTACATTTAAAAGGACTTAAGGAATTACTTAAACACCATTTCATATAGATAGTTAGTTTTTTTCTTTTTTTCCAAAATAATTTTTTATGGAAAAAAAAGCTTTCGGACTGAAGCCCTCCCCCAAAATTAAATCCTGGATCCGCTAGTGTCGTGGATGTAAGCTTTTACTGTAGAAATGATAATGTCGTTTTGTGTAGTGTTTCTAGAAGAATATTGCATTAAGTTATTTTTATTTTGTTTCTGTCTGTTTCTTTTTTAAACCCCAATTTTCTGCTTCGTATATCAAAATTGTTCTCGGAGTACTGTTCTAGATTGTTTTGTTAGTTAAGTGAGGATCTGTGATGACCTTCTCATTTTAATTCCACTTATCTATATGTGTAATACATACTAAAGGAAAAATTTTGAATCTTGTTTTCAGGTCACCTAAATCCAAATAACCAAGTCCCGCAAAATGGTCAGTGTGTGTGAACAGTCTAGTTCAAATACGAAAAGTCGTAACCAACTGAAATTGCGTAGTTAAGGTTTATACATGAATGCGATGTAACAAAACACTTTTCGTCGAAATTAGTTAACCGAAATTGCCACTTTATATCATCGATTTTATATATTTCTACAGCGTTCTCTAACAGGGCTTAAATGGCTAAATTTTGAAAATGTCTTCTTAAAAAGTACCTTTAATTTTTTTTTTATTTGAAATAATTAATCATTTCGCTTTGTGAACTGATATAAAAAATGGTTAAATATAAACAACCGATAATAAACAGCCAAAAGCGTCCGATGTTTGCCGATCTTCTCGCTAAACAGATACAGACTCCTCTGAAAAGGGCTTTCATATTGTTAGTTCAACTTTTATATATCACTTGTCCATACTTTTCTAAAAAGATTTTCGCGCCAAATTTAATAACGTAACTAATATTTAATGAAGTTAACCTATTTTTTCGACGAGTTTCGTGGCAAATGGTTTCGAAAAAACGTATTGTTTGATTTTTTGTTATTGTGATACCACACACAGTCGCAAAAGGAAATGTATATAATATTATTATATGTAAAATTATTATAAATTTAAAAGATTTGACTGGTGGGAAAAACATAGTAATTATTTGTTTTAAATGACGTTATAACATCAATATGAAAATACTTATTTACCATAGGTAGGTAAGTGAAAGTGGTGTGATGCGCGCACTACACCAACTTTTGAAATTATTGTATGTGTTTCAAGTAAGTTTTTCTTAATTAGATAAGTAAGTCTGAGGTGCTGGGTTTTATTCGTTGGTTATAGGTGGACATGAAGTTTTTCTTAGAGAAAAAATTATTATACTTGATTTAGTATTGCTTATTTTAATTTTAAAATGTCAACAACTTCGAACAATAGTCGATGTAAAGAAAAAAAACGAAAAATTCTCCAAATTTCACCAGAACCTCAACAATCATCCAAATCCGCTCCAGAAGGATCTCCTCTCGGCCAGAGGATCGACCGACGGCTCATGAAAAATTACTCATCAGCCGGATTCGAACCCAGGACCTTGAGCTCTGGAAGTCAGTGATCACTCACTGAGCTGCTCCGCTCCCCCTTATTTATTGTATATACTTTTTGAATATTATTTAGTTGTTAGTTCGAAGACTAAGGTGGAACCCACATACCAGACTTTAAAAGACAAGTACTTAACAGACGATACGGCCAATTATAGAGACTACTGACTAAAAAATCTCAAATTTCTATTGACAACAAATTACTGATCTACAAGACAATCGTGAAACCTATTTGGACATACAGACTTGAACGTTGGGAGACAGCTAAATTCTCTAACATCAAACGCATCTAATCCTTTCAGTCCAAAGTCCTCCGAACAATAGTCGATGCTCCGTTCTATCGACAAAACCCTACATCATGACCTTAATATCCCATTTGTCCTAGAACTTATCCTTTTCAAATTTTCCATGAGCTATGGGGCTCGACTAAACCATCGAATTCCTCTCGCATCCAATCCTGACAATCCAAAATCCTCCGTAAAATCCTCAATGCTCCTTACTTTGGCACTAATAAAATTATCCATAAAGATCTTAATGTTCCTTATGTTTCAGATCTGGCCCAATCCAGATACCTATCCTTCCATAATAAACTTCAGAATCATCCCAACCCTCTCGTTTCTAACCTTGCTTCCTCTTCAATTCCTGATAACCCTCCGAGGCGTCTGAAAAGAAGATGGCCCCGTGATCTCCTAATGTAGTCATATCATTAGAGTGCTACCATTGGGTAGTTACTCAGCAAGTGTATTCATGTCATTATATCAATTATGTCCAAATTCACTTAATGTATTTATGTAATACAGTTGTAAATGTCATAAAGAAATTAAAAAAAAAAAAAATTTTTTTTTTCCATATTCCTGCAGAATCTTACGAATCCCCTTACACAATACCTATCTAGTTCCACTCACCCCTACAACTCTTCTCGAAGCCTGAAGCGGAAGTGGTCCAGAGACTTTGCAGTGTATATCTTGGAGTCCTGGCAATGGCCAGATTCTCCACTCAAGAAATGAGTGTATGAGGCTAAAGTGCTCTCGCTCAATCTCTAGCGTAGGGATCTCTTGGAGTCCTGTTTTTCCCTCTACAGCTTGGGTTTCTCTGCTTGATTGTATACATTGTATATAGGTATGATGTGTTTTCGTGTTTTTAATTTAATTATCTTTAGGTTATTTTATTTTTTAATATTGTTTAGTTATTATTTTGCTTTTGTTAATGTTATGTATTCTGTATATGTGGTGTGAGTGTGTTCATACCTCACTATAATTATTGTCCATGTGACAGATTATTATATTTATAAATAAATAAAATGTATTCATTGTTTGTATTTTGTAGCCACCGCAAGAACCGGACCCGTGGGTCGGTGAAAGGAATTCCACAGCCGTACGGCCAACGTGTCTTCAGTTGGACAGCTTCTCGAGGAACCCAAAGGTAGTGGGAGTCGAAGACTGCTTGTACCTTTCAGTATTTACACACAAAGTAAGTTAAAAGTTTTATTATAAATTAATATTAAATTATAAATTAATCAATCCATGTATGCAGTATTGTGCTCTCAGTCTTGGTCTTGCGCATGATTATTGCAATCAGCTATTATTAAACATGTTACTCTAGATCTTAGAAAAACAAGAATAGGTAAATTTAGATGTTATGTTGACATAAACATATTCAACTCCAACCAAATTAACTTGATAATACATAAAAATCAATGTGAAGCAAGATGCTGATAGACGCACACTTAGGAATAGAAGAGTCGTAGAGTTAAGTAAATCTATACAATGATACCAATTATTTAAGTAAAAAATCTGGTATGCCCATTCAAAACATGACGTTTCTACAATTTTAAACTTTTTTTTTCATTTGTAAATATGTTCATTAAAAATAATACAATAATAATTTTCCTGATAACGGATCAGAGAAATCATTAGAGTAGGAATTATTTGATGAACTAAAGGAATGTAAACGGGCAAGCGAACAATTAAAATCAGTATATAAAATTCAATACACTGTAACGTTGCTAAAACTGGTCCGATTTAAACGATTTTTTGACAGTTTCGTCGGAAATTTGATAACATTTTAAAAAATTTTACTCCTACATATTATAGAGATTTTACCCATTTTCAGCATGGGGTAACATATCTAAACAGCGTATGAAAATTAGAATATATAATTGGTAATTGGTTGACTGTCGTGGATAATGAAGAGAAGAATATTTGGGGTGCTCAGTCAAAAAGGAAGACAAAAAATAAATTATAATATTTATTTCTTACATATGCCGACGTTTCGACCTGAAGTTCAGGCCTTCATCAGGGATAAGAAAATAACCAGATAACAAGGTATGAGAAACATAAGTAATGATGGTAAAAAAGATAATAAAAAATGAGAAAATAAAATAAAAAAATAAAAAAATTATTAGAAAAATAAAGTAGATAGATATAAAGTAAAATGAAATTGTTAGAATAATGACTAAGAACTAAGAGATAAATAATAAAAACTGTTACAAAGTGTGGAATGATGAAGTAGGCATAATCAAAAAGGGGTGACAAAAGTGTTACAACGGGTTGAGTGTTACATTATATATAAAGTTATATAAGAAATGAAAATAAAATGAATAGTAAAATTAAAAATTAATATAGTTGAAAATTAGAATAGTTGAATACAAAAGTATATTAGTTCTACCAATTCTTTAGATATGGTACCAGAAATTATCTAGTATTAGTAATTATTTTGAATTTTTATTCACAGACACTTTTTTCACTTGAAAACTTTTTAGGCGGGTTTTAAACTTATTGCGGAGAGTGAATTAGATCGATCCGTCATATTTTAACTCTCGAGTATAGTCGGCTAGATTCGACTAATCGAAATGTTTTTACATATCGTTTAAAATATCTCAGAAACTAAAAATCGGGCCTGCGTACTGTAAGCGAGGAAATTTTTCAGCATTTCATCCTCTCTCTAATAAGTTATAATTCAAAATTGAATTTTAACGCCACGCCGTGTTAGGGAGGCGAGAAGGAGAAAATAGTATCGTAAACCAAATGATAACGAGGTTAGTTAAACATATATATTAAAATATCTCACAAGCTAAAAATCGGACCTACATACTGTTAGCATTTCATCTTCTTCATAACGGAATCTCGCTTTGTTGATGTTTTCGCTACTATCGTGTGGTCTAAGCCACATACCTTTTTTTTTTTTTTTTGTTTATGATTTTAGGCTCAATATTTTATCTTTTTTACCATTTATCACTATTTCGTTTATATTTATTTATTATTAGTTATATTTCAATTGTTATTAATGCATATTAATCGGGGATTTAATATAAACAGTAATAAAACCTCAATTGCAGATCAATGGATCCAGGCCAGTAATGGTCCACATCCATGGCGGAGGTTTCGTTGCTGGAGCAGGTCTTAACGTGGATCAGATGAAGTTCCTGATGGATCAAGACATCGTCATTGTGGATATCCAGTACAGAGTTGGTATATTGGGTCAGTATTGCCTTCATCAGCTTAGCTATTCTTAATCAGTAAATGCAATACTTATAGGGAAAATCTGGTGGTTGAGCGTGATATCGGCCCAATCATCTCCCTGCACAATCTTTGGCCTTGTAACAGTACTTTCTCACATTATACTGAATCCATAACCCTTCATGGGTTGTTAGTGCTACAGATTTTTTTTTAAATAACAAAAATTAGCTACACAGTTGCTACGGAAGAGAGAAAATACGGAAATGTAAATAAATATAATGATGCAGAGATGGTTGACGGTGAAATAATATGAGAAGTCGGTCGAGGGGGGGGGGAGAGGGTGCGATCAAATAAATACTAATTTTTTTTAAAAAAATAGTACTTTTAATTGTTAAGCCGACCGGTTTTTACTTGTTGTAAATATGGTGTGAATAAACCATTTATTACTATGATTAATGTCCTTAATATATCGTATAGTAATAGAATTTAATACAACTCAATAAATTACAAAAACAAATTATTTTGTAATATCGTTATACCATTTTAGGATTCCTGAGCTTTCAAGACGCAGAACTGCCTGGAAATATGGGCCTGAAAGATCAAACCATGGCCCTGAGATGGGTGAAGAAGAACATTGCCAAATTTGGAGGCGATCCTGGAAAAGTGACTATTTTTGGAGAGAGCGCTGGAGGCGCAAGCGTTTACTATCACACCATTTCTCCTCTAAGCAAAGGTAACAAACTTTAATTGTACCATACATGAGATTTTTAATTTCACTTACTAATATATGAAATATATATAGTAAGGGAAGTATTGCGATAGTGAATAACTTCGAATCCGAATTTTTAACGGCGATACATTTCAAGGTCCCTTAAGTATAAATAACAAAATCTTGCAAAAAAAAAATACAGTTAATGTGTCTGTCTTTATGTGAACAGCCTAAATCAAAATAGAAAAGTCCTATAAAGCGAAAATTTCACGTCTTTTCGGTCATAATAACTATAATAATATCCTCCAACGGAGTGCTACCAAAGATACTAGTGGTTTAAAATTACCTATTAATGTGCTGAAAGAGACTCAACACTCAGTTCTCTTTCAGTACACACAGCACGTTTTGTTAGAAAGTTTTTAAACATCTAAAAAAATAATAAATATTAATAAGAAGATGGACTTCTGGTCTCACCCCGCAATAATGCTTTATTTATTGTGAGACGAGTCCCTTTAGAATAATACAAAAATGTGGGCTAAGGAGCCTCAGAGATACATAAACAAAAATAGTCATAATAAAACAAATCATAAGTTACTTTCTAACTTAAATCAGTTAATAATAAAAATAAAAAAAAAGAAAATAAACATGAAGTAAAAATACTGAAGAATGATCTAATAGTTTACACATATATTTACAGTAGTAACTATTTACAATTTTATGGGAACTGGATGCATAAGAAATGATTGAACAGGCAGAATTTAAAGGTATGAAAGGTATATGAACGATCTGTCGAAAGCAACGGTTCGATGGGCCCTTATCTATAAATCAGAAGACCGGGAACGAATATTGCTGGAGCGAACAGAGGATTTGAATTGAAGGAGCTCGGAGATGTATGAAGGTCGGTGAGATTGGATGACTTGAAAGGGGAAGGATGCCAGGAAATACTTGCGACGGTAGGAAGGATAAAGCCACTTCAACTCTTCATAAAAATGGGAAACAGAGGCGTCCCTTGGGATCCCAAAGATGAATCGTACAAAGCAATTTATCAAACGTTTTAGTTTCGCCCCGGGATCCCCAGAGATGTCCTCATAAAGCATTACGGTCATACGGGGTTTTCATCAAGTCAGGGAAGAGAGCGAGGATTAATCCGAGAATTAAAAGCCCTCCGACAGCGGGAGGGAGAACTCGTAATTATTTTAACATACAAACTTGGATTAATCGTGTAGTTGGCTGCTGAGAAAGCGGGACGCAGGACTTAGCGGAAGTGTCAATGTGGTCCACGAGGTAAAAACGTCTTATAAATCCTGATATATAAAATCGATTGTACAATTTCATCGATTTTGACTAAACCCGTCATATCGACTTAAAATTAAATAAATCGATTAATAAATTGATTAAGTGAAATGGATCCGTATGGACCTTCGAAGTGTTATTTTTTGTTTGGTTTATTTGAAATAACTGAAAGTCTCTCACTGCTAGTAGACATACAAAATGGATAGGTATGAACTATGAAAGAATTTGATAGCTAACCAAATGAGATAATGAAAGAAAAATTCATATATTTTAGAAAAGTTAATATTTAATTTATTAAGTCGTGGATGGTTATGGAGATTGATTGAAAAAATGATTGACGACATCAGAATTGATTTCCATCATTGTTTAAAAAAAAATTGTGCACGCATCACACAACTTTCACTTACCGCCCTACTTTATATAGAAATTATTTCTTGGGCTATTACTTGGTTTTAGAAGTGCTTTATTAATCGTAGCTTAACCTTAAACCTAACTTTTAAACTATATATATATACAAAATATTTCAAGTTGTTATTGATTTAACAAATACAATAGAAATCAGTTTGATTCTAACCTATATGTCATTTGATAGGCCTGTTCCACAGAGCTATTTCCGAGAGCGGATCTAGCTACGATCCTTGGACCCTGGTTCCATCCGAACTGGCCGTATCCCATGGCAACAGGTTGGCGGAAATGATGTCATGTCCGACCACATCTACCAAGGAAGCAGTGGAATGCCTTAGGAAACAAAATGGAGAGGAACTGGTCTCGAAGTTAATTAATTTCAGGGTAATCGTAGTATATCTCAAGTATTAAAAGTAATCTTAGTAATTTTTGTTTTTTTAATTGTTATTATGATATTTACAACTGTATTAGTATAAATACATGAAGTAAATGTGTACAGAGGAATATAATCACATGAAAACGCTTGTTGAGAAACTACCCATTGGTAGTACTCTAATAATATGTCTACATGAGGAGATCACGAGGAAATCTTTTCAGACGCCTCGGAGGGTTATAAGGAATTGAAGAGGAAGCAAGGTTAGAAAAAATAGGATTCGAATGGTTATGAGGTTTATTATGGAAGGATAAGTATCTGGATTGGGCCAAATCGGAAACATATGGAACATTAAGGTCTATGGATTATTTTATTTGTGACAAAGTAAGGAGCATTGAGGACTTTGCGAAGGATTTTGGATTGTAAGGATTGGATACGAGAGGAATTCGATGGTTTAGTGGAGCCTCATAGCTCAACTCCATAAGTCTAAACAGGTCTTATTATAGTCATGTATGTGAGTCGTTTGTTATTTATTGCAATTTTAGAGTGTTTGTCCAGTAAGTGTTGGAGTAAGCAGAAACGTCGAGCACTTTCTTGTCGTTTCAGTCTGGTATGACGATTCCAAGTTAGACGTTTGTCCAGCTGGAGTCCTAGGTACCGGATTTGTTCTACAGGGATAAGTGGGGTGTTATTAAAGAATACTACACAGAGGACAGCGAGAGTTGATTAATTGAGCGATTAATTGAAATTTATTTTAATCCTCCAGTTTTGACATCGATCTTAGTAATTAAAAGTTTTATCATTAATTATACAACTGTATATTTACAAAATTTCAAAACTTCCACTTCATATTCAGGCCTTAAAGTAAAATATAGATTTAAAAACAATGCCCCTCAAAACAAAGTATTACCTAAAAATTATTAACAATATTAAATAACAATTTTATTCATTTTTACTTTCACTTCATAGTTTCATGTCATAGTTTTTGAGATCTTCTCAAAAGACTAAAAAAAATATTAGTTTCTGTTCTGTTCCCCCAATCACTCCATCAAAACAGGTAATGAACAATTTATGACTGGTTTCATCTATATTGGTTTATTATTTTCAATAATGAAACATTGTGATCGACCAAAAAATTCAAAAACATAACCCCCTCTCAAAATTTGAGGTTTCACGTTTCAAGATGCGTAGAATTCGAAAAACGAATAAAAAATTTTTTGTCCGTCCGCCGTCCGCCCATTTTCTCCGAAACTACCGGACCGATTTTTTTTTCAAATTTTGATATAAAATCAGAAGTCACCCGAGGACGATCCTCCTTCATCGACATTACTCTCCGCCTTTAACTTTCAAAATGGCGGCCGAAAAACCTGCGTTGCTATAGACTGTAGCTCCTAAACGAATGTACAGATTTCAATGAAACTTCGCTAAAGTCATTTTCTCGACGCCCTTTAAATTTATCTATTTAACATACTTCAACGAAAAGAAGCTGGAAAAAAGTTACGAGGGATGGTAAAATTAAATTACGAATAACTCGAAAAGTTTTTGTTGAGATTGTGATAGTTTTTTAATGTTTACGAAATTTCCTAAAAAAAAAAATCGTTTAAATCGGACAATTAGGAGCAAAGATATGGTCTCCGGTTTTTTTTTTTATGTGTTCTACTCCAAATGTTATATCCTTGGTTTGGCTTTTAAATTTTAAATGTGTTACTGAACTAATGCTATTTTTTTTAGCATATTACTAATGATTAAAGAAAAACAGTTTAGCCCAATAATTGGAATCACCTTTTGTTTTTTTTTTTCTTTGTAACTCGGAAGGTAATGTTACTTTAGATGTATAATTGTTTGGAGATAATAAACCATTGTGAAATAATTTGCAGCGTTTTTTTTTAATGTTGGGGTCAATCCCTAATTTTACTGGATTTAAACAACGACGGACAAAACAACTAAAAAGGCGCTGGATTAGAGATCTCCTTTCCTGAATTAAGGAAGTAATAAAGGATTAGGAAGTGGTACTTCTGAATATAATTCTTTCTCATGAATAAAATGTGATTTTTCTAAACAGTATCAACACATCTGCTTATTGTAACGTTCATGACCGGTGTGAAAGAAGATTTGAAGAAATAAAAATGCTTCTAAATACATAAATTTAAGACCGTAATTACACTGAAAACATTTTTCAGACCTGCAAATGTCCCCATTATTGGCCGAAACGTTGACTTGCAAAATAACTATATGTACAAACGGCCTTAATACATGGAAAAAATTAATAAAAGAAATTATTTTTAAAAGAAACTAATGAGAAAGTTGTACTTACAATTTTTGATAAATGATATTCACTAGATCCAACTATTAAACTAAAGAATCCCTGCAATGAACAAGCTTCAATACAGTACTGCGAGAATATTAGGAGACGTAGGAGTGGGATGTTTCTGTTCTTCCCAGAACTGTATGGGATGCACAGAAATCTCCAGTGAGTCATCTAAAATTGCCTGTATTAAAAACGAATGAATTTATAATAATATATGCAGGCAGATATACGGGGGGGAGGGGGAGCTTTCTGGCTGAATCCCCCCTCCAAAAATGGTAAAAAATAATCATGTTTTATGGAAAAAAATATTAAGAAATTATCTCTTTAAGTATTAATATTCATGTAATTACATTTAATAGTACTTCAAGAACTACTCAAACACCATTTAATATAGCTTCTTAGTATCTCTTCTGTTCATTTTTCCTACTTTTGGTGTCTTGAAGTTTTTTTATTTGTTACAATAAATATGACACCTTTTTGCCATTGCTCTCACGGACTATGGAGATACTGAACAAGTATTTTCCGGTGAATAATTTGTGATTGGTAGTATTGTGTACATATTGTATTACCACTAGCAGATCCAGAATTTAATTTTTTTTCTGGGGGGAGGTTCAACCCTAAAGTTTTTTTTTTCATATATGTAACGATAATTACTCTGGAAAAAATGAAAGATACTAAGAAGTTTTTTTATTTGTTACAATGAATTAGGCCATTTTTCACCAACATTTTATTATTACGCATCAATTTAACGTTTCGACCATACTAAGGGTCATTTTCAAAACTGGAAAGTTATAATAACATTATTAGTTAATATTCAGCAATTACAAAATGAATTTCTTATTACATTTAATTGAATTGTCTAACGTTCTATATCAAATTATTTCCGATATACTTAGATTTATATAAGAATATACAGGACAAACGGGACAATGGTTCGTAAAACGAATGAAACAACATGAACAAAATTGCAAATCCAAATCAAACACATCAACCGGCCTTTTGATTTTAATACATAACATTTGATTAAACACACCAATTTGATTTTAAAAATTCCAAAATAATATACAAGGAAAGTAGTAACAATAAAAGAAAGATTATAGAGTCTATATATATTACAAAAAATTTACATAATTCTGTTAACAACCATACAGATGTGGACAATATAAATACTTTTTACGCAAATATAATTAATAAAATTCGTATATAATAATATAATAATCCACCAATGCAAAACATTAGAAGGAAAATCCCTCTCCTTTTGACTATCCCCATCAGGACGATATAAGTCAGTCCCTCCAGAAATGACGTTGGCGAAGCCCCTATAAAAATTGACAAGTTAATGTTCACTGAACTTATTAATTAGAACATTAAGGATGAACATATAACGGAGGACTCATCAAGGTAATAGTCATTTGTTTTTAATTGTTAGAGTTTTAATGTTTATAGTTACGTACATGTAAGGGTTTTTTTTTAATAAAAAGTGTATACTTTATGTATATTTTTATATATAAATTTAAGTATATCGGAAATAATTTGACATAGAACGTTAGACAATTCAATTAAATGTAATAATAAATTCATTTTATAATTGCTGAATATTAACTAATAATTTTATTATAATTTTCCAGTTTTGAAAATGACCCTTAGTATGGTCGAAACGTTAAATTGATGCGTAATAATAAAATGTTGGTGAAAAATGGCCTAATTCATTGTAACAAATAAAAAAACTTCTTAGTATCTTTCATTTTTTCCAGAGTAATTATCTTTAATTATCGTTACATATATGAAAAAAAAACTTTAGGGTTGAACCTCCCCCCACCCCAAAAAAAATTAAATTCTGGATCCGCTAGTGGTAATACAATATGTACACAATACTACCAATCACAAATTATTCACCGGAAAATACTGGAAAAAACAAATTTCCTCAAATACAGATATTCTTGTTCAGTATCTCCATAGTCCGTGAGAGCAATGGCAAAAAAGGTGTCATATTTCATACTGAGGTTTGTCCATATAAATTGACCATATTCACAGGCCCGATGAGAAAAATGCACATCTGCCATCATATAGCCAGTGGAATACAAAATGGTGGCCATGTGAAGATAGATAGAGGGCTCTATATAGGTTGTAAGCTTATTTATAGAGAGGACTTCTAGATATATAACTCTACCGATCCTTTCAATTTATAGTATTTACATCCTTAAGGCATGAAATAATAGTTAGTTACCCCATACCCGTGGATTTCAAGTCGAACAATTGAATTTACTATTCAAAGAGTTTATTTTTTTCGGTTTTTTCGCTTATATGAGTAAAACTGCGTTCTATCTATAATAATGTCATATATATATATTTTTTTTGTCTATAAAATATGTATTTGCGCCTGCCAACAATAAGTTGACAATCAGCAAATGTGATGGCGATAATGATATAATGACATGACAGGCATGGGGAAGGAAAGTACTCAGCAGTACCTCTTCCCTAACTTGTTCCAATTACTTAGGTTGTCTAAGGAAGGAGATCCCTCATCCAACGCCTTTTTAGTCTCCTGCTCATGTTCTGAGGTATGTCAGCTGTGGCCATGTCTCTTATAAGTCTGTTATTATGTCCATTTAAATTTGTGTAAAATCGTTGATATAGGTTCGTTATATGTTGGTCAACTGTTGGAAAGTGGAGGTCAGTATGTAGAGTTTTGTTAGTCACGTACCAAGGTGATTTTGTTATGAGTCGCAATAATTTTGATTGGAACGTTTGAAGTTTTTGTAGGTGGGTCTTTTTAGCGATGCCGTATATTTGTGATGAGTATGTCCATAAGTATGTATATGTATTCAGTTTCTGTTTTAGTTTTAGTTTTGAAGATTTGGCAAAAAGAGAGTAAAGTAGTTTGAGTCGTTTGTTAAGTGTCATACGTCTCATTTTAACATGTGGGCCCCATGTCATCCTTCTGTCGAAGGTGAGTCCAAGGTAAAGTACCGTGTCCGTTTGAGGAATTTGATTGTTGTCAATATAAACTGGAGGACAGGTGTTTTTTCGACGAGTAAATGTTATATGTTTGGATTTGTCATGATTAAGTCGAATTTTCCATAGTGTGAACCAATCTTGTAGTTTAAGCAAATGATGTTGTAGAGTTAGTGAGGCCTGTGTAGGGTCTTGATGTTTTGTGAGGATTGTTGTATCGTCTGCATATGTAGCTGTCAAGATCTCATCGTCAATAGGTATAGGTATATAACGTAAAGTAGAGGGGCTAGTATTGAACCTTGGGGAACTCCGGCCAAGATTGGACGGACTGAAGACACTTCCGAGCCCTGCCGAACTGAAAAAAATCTGTCGAAGAGGAAAGATTGAAGGATAAGACAGTACGTGTGTGGAAGTATAGTCTTAAGTTTAAAGAGAAGACCCTGGTGCCAGACTCTATCAAACGCCTGAGCAACATCCAAAAATACTCCAGTTGCATATAGTTTTTGTTCTAAAGCTCCAGCAATGTAGTCTGTAGCAATTGATGTGTCGTCGAATGGAATGTGCGAAAGCCGAATTGGTGGTCAGGTATTACCTGTTGGTCAGTCAATATGTCAACAAGTCTTTTGTATATTAATTTTTCGAAAAGTTTAGAGCATATAGGAAGGAAGCTAATGGGTCTGTAGGATGATATATGAAATTAAAACTGATAAAAGTTTCAATAGAAATGGTTATATTAGTTTTTCGCTATATTATATAGTTTCCGTGATATACTTCCTCCTAGCTCACTAATATCGAAAAAAAAAAAACCTTTGCGATGCAAAATGGATTGTTATTCAAAGTTGTATCTTAACGCGACGCCATGCTAGAGAGGCGAAAAGGGAAAAATTAGTGTCGTAAACCAAATGATAACGATCTTTCATGGAAGATATGGATTAAAATATCTCAGAAAACTATAAATCGGGCCTGCATACTGTAAGCGAGGGAATTTTTCAGCATTTCATTCTCTCTTTAATGGACTATTATTTAAAATTGTTTCTTAACGCAACCTCGTGTTAGAGATATGAAAAAAAAAATGTCGAAATCCAAATGATAACGAGTTTTATTGACAGTATAATTAAAATGACAGGTGTGAATAAAAAAAAAATAAACAAAAAAAAAAATATCTCAGAAACTAAAAATTACAGACCTGCGTACTGTAAGCCAGAGAAATGTTTAGCATAATTTATCCCCTTTATAATGAGCTATTATTTTCACTTCTATCGTGTGGTCTAAAGCACATATCTTAGTTTTTTTGGTTGTTTTTTTTTATGTATTTCAGAATTTCGGAAATAAAGTTGTTATGTTGCTAATAGTTATATAATATTCTTAACAATATTCTTCATCTACTACTCTAGACTCAAAATATTTAATAGTGATTGCAAAAAAGATAGGAAAAAAAAGTAAATCATTTTCTAAGCATTTTTCCAAGATTTTTTATGTAATTAGGGCTATATTGTCTTTCAAACTCGTATACATTTTATTATATAATTCTCAAGGTTTCATGACATTAAAAAAATATTTATTCCAAAATTTTAGTTTACGTTTTCTGAAATAATTTTTTTTAAAAACTGTGCTTAGTGCAAATCCGCGCAAATTTGATGATTTATTTTATAAAAGAATATAAAAATGCTAAAAAATGAAAAAAGAAATTGTAACGGCGGAATACCGAGGAGGATATTTCAAAGACTTTCTAAGCGTTATTTGTGGATTTCAAAGAACTGATCAAAGCTGTTCTTTAAATGTAATTGTAACCAACATCAAACTGGTTGAACCTAAATTAGTCCAATGAAAAATAAAGATAATTAACTGAATTACCAAAAGCGATCTTAAGCAATAACGCACACGGGCATTGATTTAGTAATGCTGGAACTATTTGTCAACTGGTACGGCTGGAAGACTGTTTATCTAAACCTTCCTCTTTCGTACTCTACTGTGAGAGTTTAAACGAACTTTACTAGGCCACTTTTTATAAAAAATGATAATCCCACATATATTATTACAGTAAGGCTCGAAATCGGTTTTGTACCAAATATAAGATCCTGTCATGCTCAAATTCCATGAATGGGGTACCGTTGGATTCAGAATTTCACGGGGGGTTAGCGAATCGTATTCTCCACTTTTGTTTTTCTTTCTAAAATAAATAAAGTCGATACAAACATTTTGCTAGGCTTCAATACTGGAACGGTGGTAGGTCTGTAGATCGATGCGGGACAAATTGGATCTTGAAGATTTTGATGTGTACAGTATCCTGCGTTTTTAAGCCCAAAAACGTACTATTTTCGAGATAACGCAAGGCATAGGGTTCGCATCCACACAGCCTTACATTAATTGTGGTACTGTCATTGAATACATGTCTCATTTCTTCGAATTGAGGTCTCTATGATCGAGAGAGGAGGAATTTATATTATTTATCGATGGTGTTTTTGATCGGCAAGCCATATCATCGTTAATTTTTCACCAAATCTCAAGATTGAGCCACCAATTTCGAAGGCTTCCTTCTCCTTCAGGCGGGCAAAATAGTATAATCACCCCGAAAATTCAGGCAAACAAGTTATGAAAGAAAACAAACTTTATACCCATGATCATATAAAAGATTACTTAATCGCCTATAAAAGGAAAAAATCCTCTAAATCGGACTATTTTTAACAAAGATACAGCTTACTGAATTTTGTGAACATGTTGGTTCCAAACAAAAATGAAGATTTAAATTAATTTTTTTTTCTTTGTCGATTATATTTATCGATAAAGTAACATTTGATTTCTTTATCTTTTGATACCTTGCATTATTTTATTTTCTTATTAATTTGGCATTTGATAAAAATATGCTGTGCGAATTTTTCGCACGGGCCTACTAGTATATTATATTTCTCATATTTTGAAATTTTTTTTTGTCCTCCTAGATCGGCGATCGGCCCAACTGTGAACCGATGTGAGTAAGTTGCCTCCAGTAGGCTGGCGGAACTCGAAGACGTATGTCATTACAATATTTATAGTATAATAGTTAACATTATTTTCCTTGTTGCCAACAGGTCTGGCAGGTCAACCCGCTCCTCTCTTTCCAAGTAGTGATGGAACCTCCGAGTGCCGGTGCCTTCCTCACGGGGCCGAAAAGCAGCTGGGAACACGGCGATGTCCCTCTCCTTCTTGGGATGACCGCTGGCGAAGGAGATCTGATGACTAAGTGTAAGGATTTCCAGGACTTTGAAGTCATTTATAATAATTTATCTACCTTACTAACAGATACTTCAAAGTCAATCATAACAATGCTTATTCATCTGTTTTTACTTTACACAGTATATACAGCTGACATCCCAACCCAATCCAACACTGTCATCACCAACTAAGCCGATGACACGTGTATCCTATCAGTTAATAACGACCCATCTATTGCATCCCAAACTCTTCAATCACAAATCACAAGTCTTGAAAAATGGTATCAAAACTGGAGGATTAAAATAAATTCCAATAAATCCCATTAAATTACCTTTACTCTTCGTCGTAAACCTATGACTTCCTGTCCTACAATATCCTTCAACAATAGCCCTCTTATCCCTGTCGAACAAATCCGATACCAAGGACTCCACCTGGACAAACGACTCATTTGGAACCCCCATACCAGACTGAAACGATTAGAAAACGCCTGACGTTTTCGACTACTGCAGCACTTACTAGACAAACGCTCTAAGCTTCCAATCAATAACAAAGACTCTATTGGACATAATAAACCTATTGGATACGGAATTCAGCTTGGGCTCAGTAACCTCAATCCTCTTAGCAATCCAAAATCCTTCGTAAAATCCTTAGCGCTCCTTACTTTGTCACAAATAAAAACGTCCATAATGACCTTAATATTCCATATGTTTCCGATTTGGCCCGATCCAGATACGTATCCTTCCATAACAAACTGCAGAACCATCCGAATCCTCTCGTTTCAAACCTTGCTTCCTCCTCGATCCCTGATAAACCTCCGAGGCGTCTGAAAAGAAGATGGCCTCGGGACCTTCTAATATAGAACTTTAATTTGAGCTCTACCAATGGGTAGTTTCTCTTCACGTTGTGCATGTCATGTTACCAATGTCACATTTACTTGTTGTATTTTTCATGTAATACAGTTGTAAATTCCATTAAAATAAAAAAAAATAATTTATTTAAAATAAACTGTAAGCGTTGTAAAAAGTTCCGAAAAGTGAGTTGCGTGACGCACTTACAACATTTTTGAGAGAGGACACACTATGACAGGTTTATGAAAATTCCGAAATCAGGGGACTTTTTAATGCAGGAAACTACATCAGGTTTTCCATATAGTTCCTATATAGGAACTAATTCAGTGCTTGATTTCATACGGTAAAATTTTCTTCTTTGTCTGAATTTGAATGAAAATGAACTCAGAAATCTTGCTGGTGCTTGGTTAGATTTCACAAATCACTATTATAAATGATACTTGGACGAAATACCATTATATTTACTCTTATTTTGAGGTTTTAGAGTATCTCTTTGTTTTGGAATACCTTTCTCATGAAACCACTTCAGCAAATCCTTCGTCATTCGTGCAACCTCCTTTGGAACTTCTTATCCATCTCCATATCCACGTCCATAAATTCCTTCAGACTACTCCTATTACACCATCTACTAAAGACTGTATACGGTGGACTGTCTGGTAGGCTTGAGACAAAATTGAGGATATTAATGAATTGTTTCATTCGATTCATCTTTGGAGTCTCCAGGCGCTCCCACGTCTCCAGTTGCTATGCCGAGTTGAAGTGGCTATATCCAGTTCTTCGGCGGCAATATTTCCTGGATTTATCCCTTTTTCCGAACCTTTTCAACCAAAAAGCCATCTTACCTCCTTAATTTGTTTACTCTTGTTCCTTTGTTTATTCGTTTAACACGACATCCCAGTCCATAAACTTATTTGTTCCCTCTCATAGAACCGTTTCCTTTAAAAAATTCTTTTTCTGGAATTCATTACCTGTCTCCTTACGTAAATACTCTTCCTTAACCACATTTAAACAAAAATTTTCTTTCACCTACTAAGCAGTCTTCCGAACACACATAAGGACAAAATTTCGTATTTAAGAGCTGACACCTTCATTCAACTGTTTTATTAGTGCTATTTATATATTTACAATATTGTTAATCAGAATAAATATATAAACACTCTCATATATATCTATATGCAAATTACTATGTTTACTTATACTTAATTTATTTTAATTTTAAGATTGTGTTATTATGTTATGTTATCTAATTATTTTTTATTTTGTTATAGTAACAGTCAAATGTCTTTTTTTTTTTTTTTTTTTTTTTTTTTTGTCACTGTCGGAAGTAAATATATTCTTAGGATACTAAATGTCCCAGAATAAAATTTACTTATACTTATATACTTAATTTACTTTTTTCTTGTTCTTCTTACAATTAAAACTTCCAAAATCTTGTATGATTTTTAGGTTATATAATTACTATGATTATTAGGTTATAGTGGGCGGGGTGGCCAAGTGGGAACATGATACATAAGACTTTGATAAAAAAAAATAGTCACGAGTTCGCGTCCCGGTGCCCGGAGGAGTTTTTAAATCCCCGCCCACGCTTCCTGGCCCGGGAAAACCCCCGTATAGCCTTAAAGGCGAGGAAGGGGAGGACAAAAAAAAAAAAAAAGTTTATATTTTCCTTGGTATTTTTTGTATATCTTCGTATTATATCTACATGCCAGACTAATATACACATTTTATGAAATATGCTATTATTCTAAGGAAACTTCATTAAAGAGATTAAGAGATTAGATTAAAATTATTTTTCATTGCTGATTGACTAACTGTCACGTTACTTACATGTTGTTTTCATTACAAAATTAAAAAAAAATTCTTGTTCTACGTGTGATTTATATTTTTTATTTGAAAACTTGTTTAGGCGCGTTTGCACTTTTTTTGGCGAATAAATTAAATTTAGATATCAGATTTCCGATGTGTAACGCTCGGGTTAAGTCGGCTGGGGATTATGGGAAGTGTTTATCATTTCAACTTCTTTTTAATGAGTTATTTAAAATTATATCTTAACGTGACGCAGTTTTAGCGAGGTGAAAAGGAAAAAACATTGACAAAAACTAAATGATAACGAGTTTTATGGAATCATGAATTAAAAATGTCTCAGAAATTAAGAAAATCGGACCTGCATACTATAAGCGAGGGAAACGTTCAGCATTTCATTCGCTTTAGAATGACCGTTTATTTATAATTTATATTTTACATAATTACTAAAGCATACACCTTAGTTTTTATTAAATTTGTTTTTTTAAACATAAAATAATAATAAATTTTTCTTATTTCAGTTTTCATTGATTACAAAATGGACTTCAAATGGTTCGATGACAACTTCAAATCAGTCGCACCTATATCGATGCTCTACAACGCTTCAACATCAAATCCCGACAAAGTTACAGAAAAAATCAGGAAGTTCTACTTCAATGACAATCCGATTGACATGAATGAATGGGTCAATCTTACAAATGTAATATAGATTTTTATTTAATTTCTTAATCATTTTTATAATGATGATTTTGTAATATTCCATACAAAGTCTGTCAAATAACAACTAAGACTTTCTAATTCCGGGATCGTTAGAACTGAATCACATAAAGTCAGAACTCAAATAATAAACATACTAAAATAAAACTTATTAACTTTATTATTATTTATTTTAAGTGATATTTACAACTGTATACAAAAAATACATCTGGTAAATTCGCACATTGGTATAAAGACATGGAACACATGTTGAGAAACTACCCATTGGTAGCACTCTAATAATATGTCTATATTAGAAGATCACGTGGCCATCTTCTTTTCAGACGCCTCGGAGGGTCATCAGGAATCGAATAGGAAGCAAGGTTAGAGACAAGAGGGTTGGGATGGTTATGAAGTTTATTATGGAAGGACAGATATCTGGATTGGGCCAAATCTGATACATAAGGAACATTAAGGTCATTATGGATAATTTTATTTGTAACAAAGTAAGGAGCATTGAGGATTTTACGAAGGATTTTGGATTGCAAGGACTGTATGCGGGAGGAATTTGAAGGCTTGGTGGAGCCCCATAGCTCAACCCCGTAAGTCCAAATAGGCCTTATTATAGTCATGTAAATCAGTCTTTTATAATTGATTGGAAGGTTAGAGCGTTTGTCTAGTAAGTGTTGAAGTAGTCGGAAACGTCGAGCTGTTTCTTGTCGTTTCAGTCTGGTATGAGGATTCCAAGTTAGACGTTTGTCCAGATGGAGTCCTAGGTAACGGATTTGTTCAACAGGAATAAGTGAGGTGTTGTTAAAGGATACTGAAGGACAGGAAGTCATTGGTTTACGACGAAGGGTGAAGGTAATTTGATGGGATTTATTTTAATTCTCCAGTTCTGACACCATTCTTCAAGGTTTGTGATGTGGGATTGAAGGATTTGGGATGCAATAGATGGGTCGTTATTAACTGATAGGATACATGTGTCATCAGCATATGTGGTGATGACAGTGTTGGGATGGGTTGGGATGTCAGCTGTATAAACTGTGTAAAGGATAGGACCTAGGATACTACCTTGAGGAACACCTGCTGACTGGTAAAAACGGGATGTATATACATTGTTGTGATTTACTTTAAAGTATCTATCAGTAAGGTAGGAACGGATAATGAGGAAGTAGGTAGATGGTAGGAATTTTCGGCGTTTGTACAGCAGTCCTGAAAACTTATTAACTTTTCTCTTATCTCTCTTCATTTAGGAAAAATAGATGTTTGCGAACAAATGGAAGAGAAAGTAAAAATCACAGACGTTACAAAATATTTTTTAAAACAATCGATTACTATATATTTTCGCAGTCATCTAAGTTACTATAATTGTTTTGTTTTTTTGCTAATCATTCCTTTAACGATCGCATATTTTAATTATTTATTTAATTATATATTTCAGTTATTCATTTACTTCCATCATTAAAATAAATGAAACAAAAAAAAAATCCTTTATCGAATATTTAATAGTTGACCGTTGTATTATAAAGAAAGGAGACGGTCCAGGGTGGAGGTCATAAATAGGCTAAATAGTGGCAAAACTATTTTTATTGAAACCTAACGTTGACCCGACTTTGCAGGTCTTCTTCAGAGCTAGATTGGGCAAGACACAAAATTGTGGAAAAGAGAATTGTGGAAGTTACATAAAGTTATTTAGATAAAAAATTATAAACAATGTGACTAAAATTATTAAAATTTAAAAAAAAGTAAGCACACTAAAATATTGAGAACAATATAAACACAGTAAGCTGAGTAACAAGATCAACAAAGTTGTAGTGTAATATAAAATATAATATATGCAATTATGAATATGCTCCTACAGAGGTGAGTTATACAGGTGTGTTCAGCAAGGAGTTTCACTTAGAACTGGAAAACCAGAGTGAATGTTGGGGAAATTTGCTGATCTGATTGGGGAATGTTGAAGTGGTAATAGTGAACCTTGAAAATTACTAAAATATGAAGATATGGATGGACACAAGAGAAAATATTATATCTATGAAATAATAAATTATAAATATATAAATAGTCATATAAAATAGAATTAAGAAATTACAGATAGGAGTGCAATGTGAATCAAAACAAAAAAAGAAAGGAGTAAAAGGTACAAAGAAGTAAAAAGTCAATATAAAAATAAGAGTTGCAGAACTAATTTAGAAATATAGAGAGGAAACAAATACGAATAATTATAATTGTACTTAGTTGTACACATGTAAGAAAATTACATTTTAAATATTAGATAATATTGAGACATAATGGTTAAAAAATAAAATGAATACAAAATAAAAACTGATGATCGTACATTAATGTAGAATGTAAATCTAAAATTAAAAATAAAAGAGAGATCATACAAAGATACTTAAATATAATGAACGATTAAATTAAATTGGGCAGTGGTGATAGACTCTATGAGTTCATTACTAGCTATTGAACATAACAGGCCCAAAACCACTCTCGCAAAAGATGTAAGAAACGTTTGGTGGCTACTAAGGGAGAAGGGCAAAGAAGTAGTGTTCATTTGGGTCCCTTCGCAATGCGGGATCATCGGTAATGAACAAGCTGATCAAGCAGCCAACATGGCAAGAAAGCCAGATACAACATCCGTGGAATCAATTAATGAAATGCCTCTAGAGGATTACGTTAAAAAAATTAAGGAGAATGTGTGGAACATGTGGCAAAACAAGTGGGAACAAGTAGAATCGAAATTAAAATAAATTAAACCCCACTGTTTAAAATGGGAAACCTCTCACCGATCATCTCGAAAAGAGGAGACAGCCCTTTGCAGACTGCGAATTGGACATTGTGAGTTCTCGCACTCTTACCTACTAAGAGGACTTGATCCTCCGACCTGCGAGAGCTGCAATGTCCAAAGGACAGTAAAGCACATTATTCAAGAATGCCCTACATTTGATCCTACAAGGAAAAAGTTAGACATGGCACAGAGTCTAAAAGAAAACCTACAAGACCATGAAAGTGCAGTAAAAAAAACTTTAAGGTTCTTAAAAGTGATAAAATTCTACAACAGAGTGTAATTCAAAGGTGTTGCCAATGACCCTTCAGGGTAGAGGCAACAAAAAAAATCAAATAAATAAATAATAAATTAAATTAATCAATACAAAATAAAAATAGATAAGAAATAATAAGATGTAATAAATAAGTTATTTTTCACTTATAAGATTTTAAATGTGACTATATGTTAAAGAAATTTACTTTTTATCTACTTTATGTTTAACAGGATTTCGTTCCATGTGAATATGGATGGATTCGGAAATGAGTCATTTTCCATGGTTAGGGACCGTAAATTCTCTATATCTTTATACATATCCAGAATTCTCTATATCTTTTTGTATCTTGTCCGTTCTAGTTCTGAAGAAGACACGCAAAGACGTGTCGAAACGTTGGCTTTTAATAAAAATAGTTTTACCACTATTTAGTCTGTTTATGACCGCCACCTCGGACCATCTCCTTTCTTAAAAATCCTTTATCTGACATTATATTTATTATTACTTTATTAATATATATATTTTAAAAATAATTATATTATTATTATTTTAGGCTTACACTGACAGCCTGTTCGGTGTTGGTATAATGGAAGGCGCTGATAAACATAAAGGAAATGTCTACTTCTACTATTTCTCTTACATGGGGAACTTTACAACATGGACAACAAACAAAACACTAGCATTCGGTATGCCATTTCTTTTGTTTTTAACAATGAGTTTTCATATGGCGTAATTATGTTTATTTTCATGATTTTAACCAGTATGTATACCTAGTATCAAGACCCAAAATTAAAATTCGCAATTTTTAAATTTTCAAAAACCTTAAGACGCTGCTCATCCCTTAATGTAAGCGGCCAAGTTTCGCATCCATAAAGAACTGTAGGCAAGATAATTGTTTTATAGATTCTAATTTTTAAGTTCCAGGACAAGAGGCGCGAACTAAGTAGTTTTGTCACAGAAAAATAACAAGCATTAACCGTCTTCAGTCTAACCTTAATATCTTCTTCAATTTCGTTTTTTCTAGTTATCGTAGAACCTAGATACCTGAATATCTCTACCTGTTCAAACATATTACCATCTAGATCGATATCACCAGTAGTATCGCCATTTTTGCAGCTAACCATATATTTTGTTTTATCCACGTTAATTTCGAGTCCTAGTTCTTTACCTGCTTTCATTTTTTATTGCGTAGAATATTCGGACCGAAGAAGGATGAGTTGACCGGAGAGTTCAGACGGTTACACAACGCCGAATTGCGTGAGCTGTATCCGGATAATATAATTGAGGTAATTTCATCGCGGCGAATCAAATGGGCTTGTAAAGTTGTCGGGCTTATTAACGAGAGAATTCCTAAAAGGTTAATATGTGCGGTGCCGAATGGTAAGCGTCCGAGGGGTAGACCGAAGCGAAGGTGGGAAGATTGCATTAAAGCCGATCTGAAGGGACTGGGTTTGGACGGCGAACGGTGGAGGGAGGTGTGTAACAAGCGATTGGTGGTGTCGGCATCGAACCTTCGGGTTCGCTAAGCCTTTTATTATTATTATTAATTTTTAAATTTTATGAGTGGTAAAGGCTGTGTCCAGTCCCGATTCTTTTAATTTTATTTAGTCCTTCTCCAGCGTACATAACTGTAATTTTCGATAATATTGTCCAAATCTCTCCAAAGTATGGACCCGAAAATTTCTATAATTAAATTTCCTAATTTTTTAAAATGGTCGCGAAATATGAAATTTGGTAAATGACTCAAACAAAAGATTTTTTAAAATTTTCTTTATGATATTTACAACTGTATCACAAATAAAAATACATTCAGTAAATGTGAACACAATAATATAATAATAAGATACAATTTGTTGAGAAACTATCCACTGGTAGCACTCGAAAAATGAATTTACAAAAGGAGATCAGGAGGCCTTCTTCTTTTCAGATGCCTCGGAGGGTTATCAGGGATCGAAGAGGAAGCAAGGTGAGAAACGAGAGGGTTCGGATGATTCTGAAGTTTGTTATGGAAGGATTGGCTCAGGTCAGAAACATAAGGAACATTAAGGATGTTATCGATGATTTTATTTGTGACAAAGTAAGGAGCAGTGATTGATGTTTTAATGCCGATGTATTCCGGTTTAACATTCAATATTTTCAAACATCGATAGATCGATATTATTTGTCTTCACAATCTATGGCTTTCAGGAGTTAGTCTCAATTTGTCTTGAAGGCCTAAAACTGTGGAGACGCCTTTTATTTTATAGAAAATAAAATTCTAAAGAAAGACATAAGAATATATCACTCTTCTATTATAACAATTAGGGTAACTGTAAAAATATTTTACTAAATTTAAATTCTCAGAAAGACGAGTTCAATTTAACCGACATCCTAGTATAAGTAAAAATTTGAATGAGTAGATGAATTTTACTAAGGTATAATACATTTTGAAAATTATCTTACTTATATATAATTTACAGTTGTCATTGTTCCATCAGTATGGAGAAGAGAGGCCAACAAAGAACTGCTTACTGGTCTATCATATATCCCATGATATGAAGGCACGGAGGTAAAGATGGTCGTAGCAATCCATCTGGAAGCCTCTAAGTAACAATGAATGACTCAATAAAAAGCAAAAGACGACGTGGAAGGTCAAAAATTAGATGGACAGATAGGTTCTACAAAGATGGAACAGACCTGTGTGCAGATAAATGGAAAGAAAAATCCCAAGACAGGCAAATATCGAGCAGGATTGTTAAGGCGACAAAAGATCTACACGGTCTGTATTTCCATCGGATATAATAAGCCCGATACTATAAATTCCTTATTATAAAATAATTGTCATAATAAAATATTTTACTTTAAAAACAAAACCGACTACGGAAATCGAAAATCAACTCTAAAGGAATATTCTTCCATATCTACTTAAATATTTTGGTAGATTGATGGAGAAATTGACATCTATTTAAACTTGGAATAGTGGTCGGGTTCCTTTCACACAGATCTTTTGCCGCCTTAAGAAGCCTGTTCCATCTCTACCTGTGTTGAGCTATTTGTTTCCAGTTGTCTGCAGGCAGCTCTGTTGCAACGTTGTTGATTTTATCTATTCATCTACATATTGACCTTCCACATTATCTTTTGCTTTCTATTGAGGCATTCATTGTTGTTGGGAGGTTTCCTGATGGATTTCTCCAAGTTACATGTTCAGCTCATCTTAACCTCGTTGTCTTCGTATCTCAAATTGATTGCCCATTAAGCAGCTATTCATTGTTCTTTTTCCTTCATGCATTGTTATTCTGATCGCAGATCACTCAGCTTATCGTGTGGCGGATTTTTCTCTATCATCTTTTAGTACTTCTTTTTAGAGTTCTTATTATAGTAGTAAACACATAAAAATATAATAAATATAAATAACTATTTTTATGCCTATTTTGGAGGAAAAATTATCTAATGACTTTTGCAGTTTACATTTGTTAATTTACAGCTTTATAATTAATTATTATTTTTAATTACAGCTACAGGACACGCAGGAGAAGTAGTCTACTTGTGGTGGGCAGGCGGCTTAAAAGGATCAGATCTTGCTCTGTCATACGATTTGATCAAAATATGGACTGAATTTGCTGATACTGGGTAAGTTAATTATATATATATTAAAAAGTATACATAATTTAAAAAAAATGTTAATAAGCGTGTACCACAACCCACGCTTTTGGATTCAGTACTTTGTTAGAAAGTACTGTTTCAAGGAGAACTGCTACGACCAGGCCAGGATCACGCTTAATCGTTAAGTTTTTCCTCTTAATTAATTATTTAATTAATAAGTACTTTACCGAACAACTCCATTAATTGCAAAGTATTAGGAAAGGTCTTTTGCCTACTAAGGCATTCATTGTGTAGAGGCTTCCAAATAGATTGCTCTGAGCCACATACCCTTTTTGGTCTTTCTCCGAAATATTTTTCTTAATTCTTTTTCTTACTTTATTACTTCTTTCTGGAGTTCCTCAAGGTAGCGTCTTGGGCCCCGTCCTTTATATCCTTTTTACTGCCGATATCCCTGTCCATCCCAATACCTTCCTTGCAACATTTGCTGATGACACCACCATACTATCATCCAACTCAGATCCCGAAATAGCATCTTTAAATCTTCAAAGGCACCTCTCCATCAAAGTAAACGAATCCAAATGCAAACACATTACCTTCACACTCCGCCGCAGATCCTGTCCATCAGTCCACTTTAATTCCATCCAGCTTCCTTTTTCAGACACAGTCCGATGTCTTGGCTTTATCTTAGACCGAAGACTAACGTGGAACCCACATACTAGACTTAAAACACAAGAACTTAACCGACGATACGGCCAATTATACAGACTACTGACCAGAAAATCTCAACTTTCAATTGACAACAAATTACTGATCAACAAGACAATCCTGAAACCCATTTGGACCTACGGACTTGAACTTTGGGGGACAGCAAAGTTCTATAACATCAAACACATCCAATCCTTTCAATCCAAAGTCCTCCGAACAATAGTCGATGCTCCGTTCTATGTAACCAACAAAACCCTACATCATGACCTTAATATCCCATTTGTCCTTGACCTTATTCCTGAAAATTTTTCAAAATTCCATCAGAACCTTATCAATCATCCAAATCCCCTAGCCCAATCCCTATCTAGTTCCACTCATCCCTACAACCCTCCTCGAAGATTGAAGCGGCAGTGGCCCAGAGATCTTTTATAGTATTTATTTTGGAGTTCTGGCAATGGCCAGATTCTCCACTCAAGACATGAGTGTATGTGGCTAGAGCGCTCTCGCTCAAACTCCACCGGCTTTAGCACCGGTGAGGAGGTTGAGAGACTAGCGCAGGGATTTGGGTTCCCCGCCTGATTGTATATATTGTATATAGGTATGACTGTATTTTTATGTTTTTAATTTACTTATATTTAGGTTTTTTTATTGTATATATTTTTTATTTATTATTATTTAGTTATTGTTTTACTTTGTTAATTTTTTTTTTTATATACGGTGTGAATTTGTTCATTTATCAATATGATTATTGTCCCTGTGACAGAATATTGTATGTGTAAATAAAAAAAAAAAAAAATAAATTACTTCTTTCTAGGGTGCTGGTTAGTATGCAGATCTGTAGAGAAGCTCAGTATAGCTTCCTCACCGTTTTCATTGGCTAAAAAATATCAATATTACATGGTCTAAAAATATTCTTTTAAGAATAAAATCTCTGCGAAAAGCCGTTCACGGAAATGAAGTAATCTCTCAATATATACGAGTTTGATATCCACGAATTTTATTCATCAGTGGATATAAAATTCGAAAGAGTTCTTCATTTGCAAATTGCATATTTGATGATGCGCGATAAAAAAAATCCAGTGCATACTGAACATGCATATCGCTACTGTTAGTGCAAAAGATCGTATGTAAAAAATAATTATAAAAACTAATTATTTCTTTATGAATTTATTAGTATAATTTCATTTTTTATTGAACTCTGCTATTTTCCATGTAAGCAGACTACTTATATCAGTTCGAGACAACAAAATGTCACCTTTAGCACAAATAGATTAAAAAATAAAAATTTTAATATAAAACCTATATCACTAACAGTAGATACATATACTTAATAAGTATGTTTTCACTTGTAAAATGCAAGGAATAATAAATCCATAAGAAAAATTAAACTTTTTGTTTAACCAATACATTCTTCAGCCATATCAAAATTAATTAAGCTGGAATATAAAACTATCCGTGAAGTTGATATAACTTCATTATTTAATGAGGAAATCGAGACATCGACTGGCTGGCCAATGAGACTTTTTTTTTACAAAATCTGAGCGAAGATTAATCTAAATTTACTTAAAATTACTCGAAATCTAAGTAACGGCAGTGTCATGCCAGTAGCGCTAGGAGGCGAGCAAACAATACATTATAAATTAAATTTTTTGAATAAAACCTAAATTTTCATAACCCATAAAAATGTTGTATTAACTGAACTCCCTCTCCATATGATAAATACCTTCCACATTTCACAAACATTAATTTTAATTATTAGATGCAATTCAATGAATTTTATACTATTCTCCAAGTTTGGGTCAAATCTAACTAGTCGTTTTTAAGCGGAAGTATTTTCTTTTTGGAAGTAGTAGATAGAATTTGTCAAAATTCATATATTTCGTCCAAATTTGAGTAAATCGAACCTGACATAGTGTAACATGACGATCGGCAAAGTGTTAATGATGTTGGCAACTCGACCCATATTTTGAGGGGGGGTGGGGTTACAGGAAGGGGGGTCTGATTTCCTTGTTCCACTAAAGTTGAGGAACTAGCTCAGCGAAGGAAAGTTCGGTGTAGATAATTTTTATGATATTATAAAGGTCATTTTTCACACATCATGAGTTTTAAGGTGTTATTTAGATATAATTTTAAGAAAACAAAATAAATTATATTAATATAGTTTCATTCAAAATAGTTTTTAAAAACTTATTTATTGAGTAACGTTATATCTGTTTCAATTAAGTACATTTATAATAGAGAAGAGAGAGAGCATATTCATACCATAATTACATGGTTTAAAACAACGTAAATAAATAAGTTAAGTAATAGCAATAAAATGAATAGAAATAATAACAAAATAAATTGTATCACAATAAGAAAAAAATGTACTTTAAATAGTAAAATTATCATCATAGATATACTAATATACACTATTTAGAATAGTAATTATTTTAGAAATAAAAACCAAAAATTAGTTTTAAAAGTGTTTTAAATCCTATCAAAATCGCTTTGCATTTTAAAAAATAATTACTTCCTCATTATCCGCTCCTATCTTACTGATAGATACTTCAATGTAAACCAAAATAATTTCTTCTCATCCCTCTTTGCTCAATTTGCAGGCTTCCACAAGGTAGTATCCTCTACACAGTTTATACAGCTGACATCCCAACCCATCCTGACACTGTCATCACCACTTACGCCGATGACACATGTTTGCTATCTGTTAATAACGATCCTTTAATTGCATCCCAAACTCTTCAATCACATATCACAAGCCTTGAAGAATGGTGTAAAAATTGGAGAATAAAAATAAATTCCAACAAATCCCATCAAATCACCTTCACCCTCCGTCGTAAACCTATGACTTCTTATCCTACAGTAACTTTCAATAATACTCCACTTATTCCTGTTGAGCAAATCCGCTACTTAGGTCTCCACCTTGACAAACGACTCACTTGGAACCCCATACCAGACTGAAACGACTAGAAACCGCCCGACCTTTCCGACTACTCCAACACTTACTAAACAAACGCTCCAAACTTTCTATTAATTACAAAAGACTTATCTACAAAACTATAATAAGACCTATATGGACATACGAAGTTGAGCTTTGGGACTCCACCAAACCATCGAATTCCTATCGTATCCAATTCTTACAATCCAAAATCCTCCCTAAAATCCTTAATGCTCCATACTTTGTCACAAATAAAACCATTCATAAAGACCTTAATGTACCATATGTCGCTGATTTAGCTCGAGCCAGATATCTATCCTTTCATGATAAACTTCAGTCCCATCCAAATCCGCTTGTTTCCACTCTTGCTTCTTTCTCGATTCCTGATAATCCTCCTAGGCGTCTGAAAAGGAGATGGCCTCGTGATCTTCTTACTTAAAATTATTTAGAGAGTGCTACCACTGGGTAGTAACTCTTCAAGCCTGTACATGCCATTATTTATATTTGCGCATATTTACTTGTTGTATTTGTATACAGTTGTAAATTCCATTAAATAAACAAAAAAAAATAAATAAAAAAAATAATTATAAAACTAATTTGGTTGATAAACTATACGTCAATAAGAACAAAACTACGTCATACTAATAATATTTATATAATGATTTTTGTGATAATATTTTTTTTACGATTAGTTCGTAACTTAATAGGCAATACCAACAATGTAAAGTTTATTTACAGACATGGACGTTTCAAGTAAAATAAGTATTATTCGCATATATAAGAGAAATTAGTAGACGGAATTCAATAAAATTGATATAACATTGTATTTTTTTTTTAATACCCACCGTTTCTCCGAATTTCAGCCAAACGAAGATAAAAAGCTGTGGAATATCTAAAAAAATACGTCTGCGCGTGAGTAAGTGAAATTCTGGATGGAATTCGATAACATTAATATAATATTATCTAGGCACCCACCTGCACAATCCCTGACAATTTCAGGAAATTTAGATAAATTTTAGTAAATGATGTGCCCGTCCCATCGATTTTACTACAGACAGACAGTCAGACACCGAACCGAATTTGATTCTTGATGTATGAAACGTAAAGCGCGAGTGAAAATTTGCGAATCTGAGCACCATTTTTTTTTTTTAAACTTCTTGCACGAATACAAAGCTTCTTTAGATTCGGTAGTGAGGAAGCAAAACATTTCTGTTCTTTGAAATATAAGATCATGCACCCATGATTAACAGAAAATGAACGAATAAAAATAAAATCATTTTCGAGCAATTCTGTTAAATTTACTTATATGCTCTTATCTAGTTTTGGAACTGAACGTTTTAATCATTTTTTTAACATCTTCTTCTTCACCAGGGTGGCAACTGTACCGAACAAGGAGAAGATCTGGAAGAAATGGAAGCCAGACAGACACGATTTCATGCACATCAGCAACTCAGGGTTCAAAGGAGATTCTGGTCTACTCGAAGATCGCTACAGATTCTGGATGGACCTGAAATTGTAGAACCTATTAATATGTATAATAATCGTCAAAGTTGTATTTTAACAAAATAAACGAGAATTTTATTTCTATTCTTTGTAGTCATTTAATTTATTTAGTTAGGATGAGTATTTGCAGCTATGGGGTGTTACTTTTCATAAAAACTCTTGTTACTTTTTTTTAATTCAAATTTATGAAGTGAAAAATTCTTTGTACTTTTTTTGTGGAGAGTGAATTGGATTGACTCGTCAGATCTACAATGCATAACGTTCCGATTAAGGCGACTGCAGTAAACTAATTGAAGTGTTTTTGCATATGGATTTAAATATCTCAAAGTCAAAAATCGGGCTTGCATATTGTTAGTGAGAAAAATATTCATCATTTCATTCTCTTTATAATGAATTATTATTCAAAATTCCTATCTTAACGCGACGCTGTAGGAATGAGAAAAGATGAAAAATAGTGTCCAAAACCAAATTATGACGAGTTTTATTGAAGTTATGGATTAAAATACATAGATACTAAAAATCGGACCTGCATATTGTAAGCGATAGAAATATTCAACATTTCATCATCTATATACATAGTTTCAATACTTCTGTTTGAAATCTCGGAGTAATTTTCGATCAATATCTGTCCTGGAGTAATCATGTTTCTCAAATTATCCGAAAATCCATTGCTATCCTAACACAGTTCCTTAGATTCTGTGATTCTATGCCTCTAAAACCCCGCGAAATCCTAGTTTTCTCACTCATCTTTCCTCATTTTGATTATGGCTGCCTTGTATACGATGGACTGTCCGGTGGGAATGAGATCAGATTAAAGAGGCTAATGAATTGTTTCATTCGATTTATACTTGTAGTCCCCAGGCTCTCCCACGTCTCCAGTTGCTATGCCAAGTTGAAGTGACTCTATCCAGGTTTCCGACGGCAGTTCTACCAATGGGTAGTTTCTCTTCATGTTATACATGTCATGTTACCAATGTCACATTTACTTGTTGTATTTTTCATGTAATACAGTTGTAAATTTCATTAAAATAAAGAAAAATAATTTATTTAAAATAAACTGTAAGCGTTGTAAGAGGTTCCAAAAAGTGAGTTTCGTGACGCACTTACAACATTTTTGAGGGAGGACACACTATGACGGGTTTATGAATTTTCGAGATGAAAATTTCGAAATCAGAGGACTTTTTAATGCAGGAAACTACATCAGGTTTTCCATATAGTTCCTATATAGGAACTAATTCAGTGTTTGATTTCATACGATAAAACTTTCTTCTTTGTCTGAATTTGAATGAAAATGAACTCAGAAATCTTCCTGCTGCTTGGTTAGATTCCACAAATCACTACTATAAATGACACCTGGACGAAATACCATTATATTTACTCTTATTTTGAGGTTTTAGAGTATCTCTTTGTTTTGGAATACCTTTCTCATGAAACCACTTCAGCAAATCCTTCGTCATTCGTGCTACCTCCTTTGGAACTTCTTATCCATCTCCATATCCACGTCCATAAATTCCTTCAGACTACTCCTATTACACCATCTACTAAAGATTGTATACGGTGGACTGTCTGGTAGGCTCTAGACAAAATTGAGGATATTAATGAATTGTTTCATACGATTCATCTTTGGAGTCTCCAGGCGCTCCCACGTCTCCAGTTGCTATGCCGAGTTGAAGTGGCTCTATCCAGTTCTTCGGCGGCAATATTTCCTAGGTATATTCCTTTTCCGAATCTCTACAACCCAAGAGCCATCTTATCTTGTTGATTTGTTTACTCTTTGTTCCTCTGTTATTTCATTCAACACGAAATCCTAGTCCATAAACCTGTTTATTCCCTTTCATAGAACCGTTTCCTTTAAAAAATCATTTATCATGTGTGCTATTTTTTCTTTTTTAATCCTTGCCTATCTCTATACGCACACCCTCTTCCTTACTCTCATTTAAAGAACATTTATTCTTCCACATCCTTAGCAAACCAACTTCATAATACATGTAACAATAAAGCTTGTATTTAAGAGCTGTCATCCTCATTTGACTTTATGCTACACTTCAATAGCCCTTCAAAATCACCTGCACGTCCTTGAAAAATGGTTTCATAAATGGAGAATTAACATCAATCCCAGCAAGTCAACTCATGTTAGCTTCTCCCTGAGGAAAATCTCGTGTATAGACAATAAACCAGTTCCCTCCAAATAAACCAGACAAAAAACTCACCTGGAACATTCACACTAAATTAAAAAAACAAGAACTGACCAGACGATACAAACAACTGTCACGTCTTTTAGAGTATAGATCTCCACTCAACTTACTAAACAAGCGACTAATCTACACCACTATACTAAGACCTATTTGGACATACGGAGCAGAACTTTGGGGTTCCGCAAAACACACACACATCAACAAAATTCAAACCACACAATCCAAAATACTCCGTAAAATTGTCAATGCTCCTTGGTTTATTTCAAATCACACCATACACAAAGACATGAACATACCAAAAGTAAAATCCTACATACACAACAAATACACAACATTTCACACTTCTACTCTCAATCATCCAAATCCACTCGTTCTATCTCTATCTTCCTCCCTGTTACCTGGTGAGCCTCAAAGACGACTAAAAAGGCAGTGGCCTAGAGATCTGTTGAAAAGTTAAGAAGATATCAGGAATTCAAGAAGATATAATTAACGCCAACACATTTGCTTGATGCGTTCCAACGCAGTGGCAAATTGAAAATAACAAAATAAAAATAATGCTACTCTTATTTCTACAATGTTTCTGAAAGCAAATTCCTCTGAAGGTATGTCCGCAAAGGCTTTGTTTAGGAGGTATTCACACCTAAAGGTTTTCGTTGTTATGAATTATTTACGTTATATGAAATAAATAAAACCTATTTATTTGTTCTAAGTACTTTATTAATTAAATGTAAACATTAACATTCATATTAAATGTTGTTCAAAGTGTTGAGATTGTGAGGTGTTTAATTGTTGAGGTAGTGATTAGTCGTGCAGTGAGGTTTTTCCATTGCTGTCTGTAGTCCATGCTAACTCTAGTTGACAGATTCTCCAAACTGGATCAAGATAACCAAATATGTTGTAATTGAAGCGATCATCTGAAAGTAGAAGAAAGAACATCACAATTATACAAAACATAAATAAGAGCACATAATAATATATATCTGTAATCATCACAATGTCTTGTATTTCTTTCTCTGCATTGGTGATGTTAAATTCCTTTTTTTGAGGGGAGAGAGGGAATAAAATATATCAGGATAAATACATCAATAGTAGAAATGCTTAAGGAAAAGTGTAAAAACTTGAAATACTCATCGGCTTACCCAGACACATTTTAAATTTATAAAACATCCATAAACATAAACATAAACATTAATATTTATAAAAAATTTTTTTTTTATTTCTTAAAGACATTTACAACTGTATTAAATAAATACATCTAGTAAATTAGAACATAATGTATATAATGACATGAAAAACACTTGCTAAGTAACTACCCAATGGTAGCACTCTAATGATATGTTTACATTAGGAGATCGCGGGGCCATCTTCTTTTTAGACGCCTCGGAGGGTTATCAGGAATTGAAGAGGAAGCAAGGTTAGAAACGAGAGGGTTGGGATGATTCTGAAGTTTGTTATGGAAGGATAGGTATCTGGATTGGGCCAGATCTGAAACAAAAGGAACATTAAGGCCATTATGGATGGTTTTATTTGTAACAAAGTAAGGAGCATTGAGGATTTTACGAAGGATTTTGGATTGTAAGGATTGGATGCGAGAGGAATTCGATGGTTTAGTTGAGTCCCATAGCTCAACTCCGTAAGTCCAAATAGGCCTTATTATAGTCAAGTATATGAGTTGTTTGTAATTAATTGGAAGATTAGAACGTTTGTCTAGTAAGTGCTGAAGTAATCGGAAACGTCGAGCGGTTTCTTGTTGTTTCAGTCTAGTATGAGGATTCCAAGTTAGTCATGTGTCCAAGTCAAGAGTCCTAAGTATCGGATTTGCTCATCGGGGATAAGTGGAGTATTGTTAAAGGAAACTGTAGGACAGGAAGTTGTTGGTTTACGACGAAGGGTAAAAGTAATTTGGTGGGATTTATTGGAGTTTATTTTAATTCTCCAGTTTTGACACCATTCTTCTAGATTTATGATGTGTGATTGAAACATTTGGGATGCAATTGCTGGGTCGTTATTACTGATAGGATACATGTGTCATCGACATATGTGGTGATGACAGTGTCGGGATGGGTTGGGATGTCAGCTGTATAAACTGTATAGAGGATAGGGCCTAGGATACTACCTTGAGGAACACCAGCGGACAGGGAAAAAAGGGATGAATAGGCGTATTGTGATATTAGATGAGAAAACATTTTCTAGACTAACTAGGGGGGATAGAGAATCTGTGCATATGACCATTTTTTGTTCATTCATTATACCATGAGACCATTAATTATTCTCTAGTGTAAAAAAAATATTGGACTCGGATTAAATATAAGGAAAGCTAAAGGTAATTTTTGTTAATATTTATTTTAAAACTGATACACCTACTATCTTATCCTTCAATCTTTTCTCTTCGATAGATTTTTTTCAGTTCGGCAGGGCTCGGAAGTGTCTTCAGTTCGTCCAATCTTGGCCGGAGTTCTCCAAGGTTCAATACTAGCCCCTCTACTTTACGTTATATACACTTACGATATACCTATTGACGATGAGATCTTGACAGCTACATATGCAGACGATACAACAATCCTCACAAAACATCAAGACCCTACACAGGCCTCGCTAACTCTACAACATCATTTGCTTAAACTACAAGATTGGTTCACGCTATGGAAAATTCGACTTATTCATGATTAAATCCAAACATATAACATTTACTCTTCGAAAAAAAACCTGTCCTCCAGTTTATACAAGGTACTTTACCTTGGACTCACCTTCGACAGAAGGATGACATGGGGTCCACATGTTAAAATGAAACGCATGACACTAAACAAACGACTCAAACTACTTTACTCTCTTTTTGCCAAATCTTCAAAACTAAAACAGAAACTGAATACATATACATACTTACTTAAG